TCGGCGAGCTTCGCCATCTCGTGCTGCACGGCGAGGTCGACCTCCATGGCCAGCACCTTGTCCTCCTCAATGTCGTCTTGGGATTCTGAATCGTCCTCCGAGTCAGTCTCAAACTGCAGGTCCATCGAGTCGGCGTCGGAATCGCTGGCATCGGAGTCGCTCTCGTCCAAGATGGTGTTAGAGCCCATGGAGTCAATGGCGTCTCCAGTGACCTCCTCGTCACTCCGTTTCTCAAGTTCATCGATGTCGTGGCCCTTGAGTGTGCTCAGACTGAACAGGTCAGGCTCGTTGCCCAAAATCACCGAGCTGCCCGCCATCGCCTTCTTGTGCTTCATCAGCGCCCGGCGCTTCTTGCGCTCGGACCGGCGCTGCTCCTTCCGCAGACGATCGGCGATCTCGAGCTGCTGCCTGCGCAAAACGTCCTCCTCGCTGACACTGGGGACGTCAGTCTCACCGTCGGCACCGCTGACGACACCGCCCTCACCCTCAACGTCCTTCGGGGCCTTGCCCCCTTTGGTGGCCGGGAAGAGTTCACGGTGCAACTTCTGGCGCCACTTGAGCAGCTGCTGCAAGTCGGAGCGGCCAGCCACCTTGAGGTCGGAGCAGAGCAGCCGTATCTCCTCGGTGGTCAGGGGGCTGGCGGCGACGGCCTTGAGCAGCGCGGCGTCCTCCGCCGACGCCGCCTCGTCAAGGCCAGCACGAGGCTTGAAGACAAACCGGTTAGTAGAAACGAGCAGCTGCGGGGCGTTGTCCGAAGTCAGGAACTCCAGCACGCTGCGCTCCCGGAAGTCGTCGCCCTCCTCGTAGCCCTCCCTGTTCACCTTCTTGCGGTGCCGCAAAAGCTGGCTCAGCGAAGTCGCCTTCACGGGCTCAGCCTCCTCGTCAGCATCCGGCGCTGCAGCCTGCGAAACGAAGACGTGCTCGCAGTTGAAGAGCTTGGGGTCGAGGGACTTGAGCGTCTTGAACCCGATGCAGACCGCGAAGATCTCCGCGGAGACGTTGCGACTGCTGGACGGTTTAGTGACCTTGACGCGATCGAAGCACTTGCCGAGCATCCATATTAGCGAATTATAGTCCGCAGACCTGGTATGAAATGAGCATAGATGGCAACTGCGTTTACCTGAAGATCTTGGTGACGAAGATGCCGCCCTTCCGAAGGACGTGGGCGGCCAGCTTCGCAGCCTCGAGCACCAGCACGTTCTGGTTGAAAGCGTCCAGGTTCCAGTTGGCACCGACGTTGGGCGCGCCGTCGTGGAGCACGACGTCCACCTCGGCGCCCTGCACATGATGAGGCCGGAACGCGGCAAACCCACCCTCAGGTTGTGCGATATCAAGTTGCGGCATCGGGTCGTGCGGATGTCCGCCTGGAGCGTCACGACGCCCTTTATCGGCCGGATGGGCACGAGGTCGACGCCGATGATGATGCTCGAGACCGGCATCTGCTTGGCGGCGACCTGCAGCCAACCGCCGGGGGCCGCGCACAGGTCCACGAGCACACTGCAGCGATATGATCGAATTTGGGAGAGCGCGTCGCGCGGCGGAAGGCAACTCACTTGCAGTTTTCGAAGATGTTGAACTTCTTGGCCAGCTGCAGAATCTTGAACGCGGACCTCGCGCGGTAACCCTGCTCCTTGGCCAGGTAGTAGTACTTATCCTGGCGCTCCTTGCCCTGCTTCACCCTGCTGCTCATTGTGCCCGGCGGAATTACGAAATGAGGGGCCCCGGTGACGGCCCCCGGCCCCGGGGGCCGTCACCCTACTTGGTTCGGTAAAAAGTGAGCTAAAATTTACATGAGAACCGATGTGTTCTGCGGGGCGCGCGGCCTAGGGCGCTAGGCTCAGCATCACAACCCCGATGATGACGCCGAAGAGGCCTGTGGCGCATGGCAAGCAATTGGCTGGGACGTACCGAGCACGCCGGCGAAGATCTCCACCATGAGGATCTTCACGAAGAGCTGCGGCTTCTGCGCGTCGGCCAGCGCACAGGCGCTGCCAACGGCGCCGACGGACACCCTGCACGGCGTGAACAGCCGGCGCAGCCACCTACCCGCAGGCGAGATTAGACAGGCCGACGATGAGCCCGGCGGCCAAAATGAGGTAGCCGCGATGCACTTCGAGGACGTACTGCGCAGTTTTCTGCGGGTCGGCGTCAAAGTCCTTGGGGCACTCGATGCCGGTGAAGTGCGTGGACGCGGTGATAAGCAGAACTGCCACTATCAGGCCGTAGATGCCGACGGCCTCGCAGAAGATGACGGAGACCAGGTTCTTCACCGTGACGCGAGGCGACTTCACGGAGCCACCCATTATGGAGGGACCACACAGCAAGATGCCCCTGAAAGTACATTAGTAGATTTTCCGAACGAGCTGACATCAAGCAACCAAAGCGCCACGAACATATATAGAGTTGAGTTCTGCCATTGCACTTTCAAAATACAATCAAAACGCAACACCGGCAATAACTACCGGTTCCAGAGCTCTCATGGCAGTTGGCAGGCGTGTAGCGGAGTTGCAGTCTGCTCCTCGCAACAACGCTGCGACGACACATTGGGAAATGTGCAGCCCAAAACAACGGATGAAATCACGCCAAATGCACGCAAACGCAACACCTACCACGCGGCTCCGAGCACAGAGAGGCCCAGGGAAAAAAATATGCCCAGGTGGCCCCAAAAGTGCGGAGGGATCTGCGAGAACACGGCAGACCACGTGACGGCCATCTTGCCGAAAAATGATCTCTCAGGACGCTGGGTTGCGATGTGAAACCCGCCGAAAGTCGTGCCGTTCAGCAGGGGAAATTAAAGTGGCCGAGGAGACCGGTGGGCGGCGGCCGTGCCGCACGCACAGACGGCTCATGGGGAGCCGCCGAGGCCAGTAACTTTCTACTACGACTAGCGAGCAGCCGGTGGGATGCGGCATACCGGCTGCAGAGCACAATGGCTAATTTTGACGCGCAAAAGACCGCCGATGGGTACCTGAAAAGCTTCCAGCGCTTCGACGCTGGCGCGCGTGGCAACGCCGCTCCCGCAACGGAGGCGTCGGAGCTCGCCAACCTGGCGAAATCGAAGAGCGACGTAGACGGCGCCATTGCGCGCATCCAGCAGAGCTTCCAGAACAAGGCGCTCTCGCACGCCGAGTGGCAGAAAGTCATCGAGCTGCGCAACAACACGCGGCTCAAACTGGACGCCGCCAACGCCAAGATTAACGAGCTCATCAAACGACCGCCCGGCAGCGGCGACCGCGTGGCTGCGCTGCAGGTCCAGCGCTATCGCCGCATCTTCGACCAGCTGACGGGGGAGTTCAGCCTGCTGAGCAAGCAAGTGGACAACCGGCACAACACCTTCACGCTTTTTGGCGACAACCGGAGCGCCCCGCAGTCGCGCGACGCGGCGTCCAACTCCGGGCAGGTGGTGGTCGACGCCATCATGGATGTCGAGTCGCTGACGGAGCAGGCCAACCTCAACCTCGGCGTGCTACGCAGCGGCAACGATCGCATGGCCCGCATTTACGAGCGGGTCAACACTATGGTGCACGTGCATCTTTTCGACGTCCACAAGCTTCAGAAGAAAATCAACTACGTTCTGCTGCGCAACCGCGCCGTCACGTCGGTCGTGCTGGGCGTTTGCCTTTTCCTGGTCTTGCACAGACTGATTCTGTCGAAAATAGTATAATGCAGTTTGTAATGTGTGCGACGCTGCGTGCCTTCTGAGGCACCTTACTCGGCGGCCGGCTCCCGCGGTGCACCCTGCGCGTTACACATTTTTAGATTCCGAGAGAATGGCGGAGGTTTCGCTAGAGTGTGCGGAGGCGCTACAGCTGTTGCATTCGGAGCTGGCAAGTCGCCTTGTGGCGCATCTTTCGGAGCAGCGTCTCCGCCAGCGACGTCACAAGTCCAAGACCGTCCAGCGCGGTCGCGGCGCCTACGGGCAGTTGCTCGCCACGCTGAGCGAGGCTGGGTACTTCAGGCAGCTGTGTTCCGACGACGCCCGGCTCACTGAGATGATGGTGGAGCGCGACGTCATCGAGGATGCCATCGCTCCCCTCGTCGAGGGGCTCCGCCTTCCGGTCCATCTGGGTGCCGACGTCTTCTTCCTAATCATTGGTAGGTTTTGCGCTCGATGTGTGACATAGAGCGTGCAGGGTGGATATCCGGCCGCTTCAAGCTTTCGGACGTCGACCTATACGACATCGTCACGTGCTACAGTCTGGCACCAACGGAGGAAGGCCGGTTCGCGCTTCTACTCAGGAACATCGTTCGTATGGTTATCGACAACGCCGTGCTTCGGCTGCAGGCTGAGAGATGCAGCGACCGCCTCGATCGGGATCTGCTATTCCTGCTGCAGAATGGCACTGCCTCTGGCATATATGGCAGGCTGCGGACGTTGGTGCACTGCGGCGCGCTGCTGTATGAGGGCAACTCTGACTCCATCATCGTCGACACTATCGCAACCGAGCTGCCTCGGTTATCAAGGTACGTTGTGGACCCCTATGTTTCTAAGGTCTTGCAGGAGTCGTCAGATTGTTTTGACGAGGGTGCTCCGGCACATTACGGAGAACATCCTCGGCTGTGCCAACCGCAACGCACGCAACCCATCGCAGCGGCAAAGCGCCCACCTCTGGCGGCTCATAGTGAAGGGCATTGATGAGTCAGGTGCGTTCCGTTGAGTCGTGGCTCCATGTTGTGCAGGTGTCCCGGAGCTGGCCTACGACGACCCCGAGCTCCTGCGGGTCATCCGCAACCTCGGCCGGGAGTTTGACTTTTTGGGCCTTGCGGCGGTGCTCACGCGCAACACCCGCAGCTACGTCAACGACCTGTCGGACTTTCGGCGAAAGTGCGACTTGGCGGGAGCGTTTAGTGCCATGCGGAAGCACGGCATCGTATGCGACTTCCCTGAGACGTTCAACCTGTCACAAGACAACATCGGAACGGTGCTGCTGAACAAACACTTGTTTTAACTATATGAAACGCATGTTGTACATAATTCAGGGAAGAATGCATCAAAAGAGTACACCAGGCGGGACTCGAACCCGCAACCTCCGCTTTAGGAGAGCGATGCGCTATCCATTGCGCCACTGGTGCCCGCAAAGGGCGCCAATCATTGATTAAACTTCGAAAATCAATGGTGTGGCAATTAGACGGTCGACGACTGACGGATTCTCGATTGCGAAATAACGTTGTTTTCTAACAGTGCTGTGTTTTGTGAGCTGCAATGATTACGACACTCGATTAGGTAACTCGGGCGGCGACCATAATATGAGTGAGTGGTTGTAACTTTTTTAAGATGGTGGGAAAGGGCTATTACTGGTCTAGGAAGCATCGGAAGCTAACCACGCACAATCCACCACAGCTACCCGTAACTCCCCGAGACAAGACCTACAACACGTTATCTACAAGGACTCCAAGACTTGTTATTTCAAGGCTATATAGCATATCTAAGGCGAATGGTAACATCCCACTCAATGAACCAACCATACGGGCAATACAGGAGAGTTCACAGGAGGTATGGCAACGCTTGTGATGAAGCTTAACGTCCTACAAGAGAAACAACACCACCGATAGACTGGACAAAATGAAAACACGGAAGTTATATGGATGCGCAACGTTACACTCCAAGGTATGCTTAGAACATCTTGTACACGTTGACACAAATTACTGTCGTCTGCCAATCTTGCAAGGATTACAACGAAGTGGTGGTATATAGACGTTCAATTGCAAACGCACGGATTCGTATTACAATATCATTCGATCTAAACCACATACAGAAACTATTTCCCGCTCATCATCGTGGCTGACAAACGCAAGAACCGCATCACCATAGTTGAGATCGGGATCACCTCCCAGAACAACCTGGTGAAGACGGAAATGGAGAAGAAGGACAAGTACCAAGACCTCGGCAAGCAGATGAAATTCCAGACGTTCGGCAACCACGACACGGAGATAGTCATCATACCCTGGGTCATGACATGGGACGGTGTGGTGACAGAGTTTCACAATAGCTACAGACGGCAACTGGGAATCTCGGATCGGATGGAAGCACAATTGCAACGGATTGTCCTCCAGCAATCCCACAACTTCGTGATGAGGGAGCTGGGAGTGGCAGCCACGGGCATAACATGCGAATGCGACCCGGCGCGCAAGCGCCAGGCCGCTAACATGGACCGTGGCCCACCGCTAAAGGAGCGAGAGGTGCATGCCTCGGCAAGGCGACCCGCCTTGCCTTCGGCAGCGCCGGCTCTCGCCGTCGCCTGCGGGGCGTGAGGCTCGAGGCCTCCCGCCTGCGCTACACGGTAGCCACAATACCACACACAGGGAACAAAACGAATTCAACAAGCAACGCTGCAAAGAGTCACATTGTGACGAGTATGGAAGGGCGGCGAAAAAATATAACATCTCGCGGATGGTGGAGGGTGACTTAGCCGCGGGTTTAGCACTCTTGACCTGTTGAAACCGGAAGTAAGAAGCAGCACATATGAAAAGGGCCGATAGAGGGCAGCCAGTATAGTTACCTTGGGAACTAACTTCCTCCCGAAGCTTCTGGGTGAAAGTGGCATAGGCGCAAGTTGACGGCGAAGTGCTCTGGCCACCGACCTGTGGAGACGCCTTACCCATGACCGTGGGGAACTCTTTGATTAACTTGAATGCTGAAACTACAACTTGTGAACCGTTCTTAGTCATGTCAAGATTTATATGTGGATCATAACCCATGCCGTACATGAAATAGGAAAGGTCCCTGCCGTTACTGTCACCGCCAATCTTCATCGCTTTCCACTCCCCATTCCCCGTACCATCACACCTCCAATACAGGTAACTCAGCGCGCTGAAGATCATGGGCACGCAGCCGAGGAAAACTTTTGCACATATCTGTTCACTGGTTCCATCACTCTTCCAATTGGCCTCAGCAGGATCATACGAATAAACGTAGCCCTTTTTGCCACTACGGCTATCACCTGGTTTCCAAGGCGGTCCTGGATTACCACCCTGACCAACCGCAATCCCATTGGCCCCAATGGTCCCTTGATTATCATTATACCCTATGAATGTCGCCAGCCCAGTCGCCAAGCTTTCAATGAGACCAGTGGAAGGGGTACCCAAAGCCCCCTTAATCTCATCAACCTTTTTCTGAAGCTCGGGTGAATAAGATGTAACATCACCCAGTAACTTTTCAACCGCGTCAGCCAATTGTTTAGTACCATTTTGACTACCATCTACCGTGTCCTTCCCCGTCACCCTCAGGATCCAGTCTATGGCCTCCTTCAGGTTGGAGGGGCGGTCAAGAGAGGTCGACACAGGCGGATAATGGAGTATCTAAGGGCAGTATGGCGCACATGTACGATGCGTAATTAACCCTATACGAGGTGGATCAGGGAGGCTGACGTGTGACCTAATATGGAAGTAGGGTGAGGTGCCATCTAACTTGGCGGTGAGTTAGTGACAACATCAATATGACTTAGTAGCAGGTGTGTAATTGTGTTGAGTGATTAATAGTAGTGATGCTAATGTACCTTTAGGTGTGAGTCAAGGTGGAGCTTTGAAATCTCTTGGGTCCAAGGTGCTGCTGTGGTTGAAAAGGTGCGAGTAAAATGATATGTGCTTTAAAATGCTTATTAATAATGTAGTTTAACCGATTCTAAGAAGGCCATTGACGAGGGTCTTGGCGCCACCGAGGTCGAGTATGTAGGCTGCCGCAGCTCCGCCACCGAGGCCAAGGGTGGTGAGGGTGCCGGCAACGGGGCCTGCGGTGGAGGAGTCTGGTGCATCGTGTTTTCTAGGTTTAGTCAGACATGTTTGTATGAATGTTTCAATCGCATCTTTTAAATCCTGATCAGAATTGAATGACGCTCTGAAAGTCTGAATTTTTTCTTTGATTTCAGCAAAGGTTGTGTCGACGTCTTTGCCTTCGTTAAACCTGTATTTGAGGTAGGCAGTGGAAGCAAGGTAGAGAGTGTGCATGGGGGAACTTATGGCGTTGGCATTCAACTTATCCCTACCATGCTTCTGCTCTAGTTTCTGCAGAAAGCTAGAGTAAGAATATTCTGCTTTAGAAACATTTTTAAAGTCATCAAAACCCTCCATTTCATGCTGCAAAAGTGTTGCGATATCAGATCCACTCTTATCCTGAAGCGCCTGCATATCAAAACCCATGTTGGACATGAAGAGGTAAAGAGGGTCACGAATGGAACGCAGTTGTAAGCTCATCCACCCAACATGCGATTGGGTATTCGAACACTGCCAGAAGAGATAAGTAATGCCAAGATATAGAATGGGCACATAGCACAGGAAAATGAGGGCGACCTTTTTGGCCTTGTCGGAAGTGGGAGTATTCATATCATCATCCCACTGTGCCGAACTACCGTAAGAAGAAGTGTAACATGGAGTGTCCTTACGCGCAATTCCATTATCAGTCAACGTCGTCCCTCCAACAGTGTTGTAACCAATTAACGTTTTTAGTGCTTTGCATACGTAATTAAAGGGGCCTTGAACGTTAAAATCACCTATTCTTTTGGTCACCGAGGTGAAGTCTTCAAGTGCCTCAACAGCGTCCTTTAATTTTCCACCCTTATCAAGAAAAGCTATCCTCACCAACCAATCAATAGCCTCCTTAAGATCCTTTGGCGGTTCGGTAAGAGACATCTGAGATTCACCCATCTTGCCCGACACCTACTAGGACCCAATTAATATAACAATACCACAGCCCCGAATGGATTATAACGCCAGTCCACAGCCTCACCAGCTAACTCCGACCCACAGCCCACCACACAAACCAAGACAAAGCTCCCACCCACAACGCACTATCACTGCCCGGATAGCGTAATGATCTTCAAGTAATAGCATCCATAACACCAATTATGAACACCACGTTTCCATTACTGTAAGCGTTATTGCGATGGGCTAAGTGGAGGTGTTAAGTAGTAAGTCAGCATGAGGGCCAACGCCCAACCGCCGTGCTAGGACTACATTAGGTGGTGGGTGACGTGACGGTGAGCCAAGCAGACCTATGAGTGTGGATGTAGGACTGTGGATTACGATGCTGGCACTTGAAGCCTGGTGCGGTTCCTACCCAAATATCTGTTCAGTTCGTTATGAGGGAAATAGAGCTTTAGGGCTATGATGAGGAGGATGAAGGTGAGTGAAGTCATGCCACCGGATTAACTTCATTGACCCTTGAAGGCGGACTTGAGGTTGGAGGCCACGTGTGAACTACTGTTTGTTCTATGTTGTTAAGATATCTTGCTAACATTGAGTTGCGCTTTGTGACTTCTGTGTGACTGGATGGAGCCCTGTTGGTGGTTGGTCACAGTGGAGGTGACTTATGATCGTGCCTCTGATCTCACCTTAATTGCGTTTTGGATGTTCACGGTTACAATACTTAACAATGTTTCACTTTCAATCCATATTACTAGTATGCCCACCACTTCACTACTTATGGCATTAAAATACAGTTTGAAATCGCCTGTGTTGCGGCGGTCTAGCCCACTACTGGGCTGTGACTACGTTAAAATATCAACTACATTTTGTGGCATTTTCGCCCTTTAAAATACGGACTCATGGTCCTTCAAATGGCCGAGAGCTTTGTCACGGCATGTAGTAAGTGAGCTTCGTTAGTGCCGGAGCTTTGCCGGTGGTGAGCAGGCCAATGGACGGTATGCCATGTGAGGACGGGAAGTGGGCATGTGATTGAAGGTGTAATACGTCTATGCCGTAGAAGATGAAGTACAGGAGGATGAGGAAGGAGCACAGCCAGAAGGATGACAGGTTGTAGAAGAAATAGAAGCGGAATAGGTAGAGGAAGTTGTCGATGCTTTCCAGTAGTTTGGCGAGGGGGGCGTTGGGGGAGAGGACGTTAGAAAGTACTCTCTCGAATTTTTCGCAGGATCTCACGCTAGGTGCATCCTTTGCCCACTTGCCTGCACCGTAGTCCCACTTCCAACCGTTCAACAGGAATGCATCATTAAATTGGCATCCGTGACGGTAGAGCAAGGGGAGGACGCCGCTACAGGACACAACGCAGGGACAGGAACATACAGATTTACCATCGTTTCCCTTGGTACATACAAATTTGGAGTTACAATCGTTACAATT